GCACAAAGCGAGTTAACTACAGGTCAGTTAAAGGAAGATCCGTGAGATAGATGATTGATCCTGTAAATCTGTTGTTCTGGAGGTACCTGCAGTTTTGTTATCACAGTAGCAAAACAACTATTAATGTTACACCTTAATGACAGCAGATTGCAGATTGCAGTAAAATTCCAAGATACTTACAGTGAAGTCAGATTCACTAGAGATCCAAAAGAGCTTGGTAGATCTCCCGTCAGGTTATTGAATGACAGATCCCTAGCAAAATCAATATAATTTTGATATGAACATGGTATCTTGCATCTACATATCCCGATGAAAGGCTAACAGAATCGAACTGAAGACTCACATTTCTTTAATGTGTAACCCAGAAAACACATTTCCAAGAGGTCCAGATAATGAGTTATGGCTCAAATTCCTAGAAGACAGAGGAAGCCACTAACAATTCAGTAGAAAAGGAAGCCAATGTGATGAATATCCGTTTGAAGCCACTTACAGGGACACAAGAGATGTCATAAGANNNAANNAAAAAGGGAGACTCTGAGTCAGATTGTTATAAGCCATGTTTCTGTAATCAACAAACAACGAAAACACTCAGTGAATTACACTCGAGTGTAATCTTAAATGATGAATGCACTTGTGGTTAGACGCTTACACATGAGTAGCGTTTGGAGGCAAGCCAAATGGAATTTCACCTTGTATGTTATTAAAGCTAACATCCCTGACACAAAGGAGAAATACAGACCAATTCTCTGAATACCTATCTCATGATGAAGTTTAACAATCAAGAACAAAGGAGAATTTTGCTTACAGGTTCTTCAAATTGTGGAGATGTTGAAGCTGGTTTCCAAGACTGCCCAAAAGCTTTAACCCTCGTAGTTGTCTGCCATATCAACAAGAATCAGATTTTGTTCGAATCCGGATAAAACGTTTGTAGATAAAAACCGAAGAAAAGGGTTCACAGGGAAATTACAGTTCTACTATAGAAGAACCAGAACAAGAAATTCCCATCCAAACTTCTCCGCATGGATCTCCACCTTCCAGTTTCCATCCTCTGAGTTGCGGTGGATTGTTCAGGGATTTGTAGAGATCTTGAAGAGCCGAAACTAATGGAGAAACACGAATACAAAACAATTACATATAGTCGAATTCTAAAAACAGTCATTTCGTCGAACAGGTTTTGATCTTTTTGATCAAAGTAAGAGAAAAAAGATCTAAAGTCGCGAGTAAACCCCAAGAAATCTCCAGTCAAGAAAAGGTTTTCTGATCATTATACCAAGAACATCGAACGTATATGCAATCAAATTCGTTACGAAGCAAGTAAGCGATTCACTATTCATGCTCGATTCCATTAAACCTTTTCTTAAACAGAGAAGAACGACGAACAAAAACATCTTCGTTCCCAGAATTAGATGAGAATCTGGAAATTACCTTCAATCGGATCAGTATCAGACTCAGCTAGAACACAAAGCATCACCGTGAACAGAATCGCAGCGAGGTATCGCGATTGCTGTTTACTCCTCATCTCTACGTAACGAAG